ATTGGCGTTCTGTTAATGGCTGCCAATACTGTGAGACTGAGTTAAAGTCACCCCCTACCACTGAGGGTCCACTTGGCTGCCAGCTTAGTAATGGTTCCAAAGTCTCACTATGGCCTGGAGCACGGTAGACATTTACAAATGTCAGTCCACACACCTGCACAAAACAGTAGTCTGATGACTGGCTTGATGACGAGGGTGAGATCTGAGCCGCTTGGAGTCCTTTTCTCACAAAAGTGACAGCGTGTGGTCGTGGTCTCGGTGTCGTGTTTCCAAAAGGTATAAAACCATCGAAACCAGGATGGCTTTTCGTTCTAAACTCTCCATCTTCTTGCAAGGTCCATGGTTCTTGAACCATGACTATGTGCACTTCTGCATCCCAAGCTTGTTGCAGCGCTATGTCCATGTTCGGTCCACCCTTTCCCACGTTCACATGGTGAAATAGAAGGGTGCTATATTTTTGGTTGTGCTTGTGAGAATTTGGTGTATTACTCATTATCAACCATCGTTTCTTCTGGTATATTAATGACCTCGCGGGCCTTACCTTTTTCTTGAGATCTTAATATAGCAGCCTTAAAATCCATATGTCCGCGTTCTCGAATAACTCGGAGCTCGGCCGGTGATCGGGGCGTTACTTGTCTATTGTATCGCCTTGGCCGGGCCATGCAGTCCAAGTGAGTAGACTCGTGCGGTCCAGCACAGTTTGAACATTTGGGGATGTTTGCCGAGCATTCGGCAGCTTCGTGCGAGCCAGAACACTTTACACAGCGCTGTCCTTTGACGCAGTTTCTTGTTGAATGATAGCCCCAGCAGCGTTGGCATTGCTCGATGGGGCGTCTACGAGAGAATGGTATGGCAGGTCCACTCTCGTCGAATAGTCTAAACCTCAAGTTGGAAGGTGCTTGTTTAAAGTGCACGATCCAGCTAGTGGAATACTGTCCAAACTTTGTATCGTTTGGGCGCACCTGTATTGGCATGACGCCGCAAGCTGCCTGGCATTCCATCTTCACCATTTCCCTGGTTACTTCAATTCTTCCGTCTAATGTACGGATGTAGATTGGGACATGCGGTACCATGACGGATGTCCAGTCTGACGCCGGTTCGATTGTGATTTCCTCTTTTTGGAGTGAAGGACCCACACCCAGAATTGATTCCCTGAGTGCATCTGATGCGCACTCCATTGCTAGGCCAGACCTAACTTGTGTCATTGCTATGATTGCTGAGGGTGCAATCCCAGCTTTCTCTGTGACAATTTTCTTGATAGTGACTGGTGATAGCTTGCGCCACTGATGCTCTCGTCCCATTCGAAGAAAAAGTCGTTTATCTTCTTTGGGGGGTTCTTTTTCTGCTGGTCGTGTCTGCACAACAGGCCTTCGTTTGACCAGGTTGGCTGGCGGGTCTGGGAGCTTGGCCGCTTTTCGTGCCACTGTGACCCAGGGGGACTCAGCCACTTGAGGCTTTTTCGGCAGTTCATGAGGCGGTTTCTCGTTTATCTTTGTCACCCTTGGCACAGAGGTTTTCATCTGAGTAGCTTCGGGGAAAGGATTCTTACATGAGTTGTATGTGGCGTTGACGTTGCTTATTGCAAAAGCTGTCACAATAGGTGAAATCTTTTCAATAAAAGGCGCGATTAAGGCCGCACCATCGGTTCCAGCCTTGGATTTCGCCCAGGCGTCGATATTCTGCAGGAATTCTTGAGCTAGGCTCATTCGCTGCTTTCTGTCGCGTTCTGATTGCTCCATTGCGGCGGCAATCCCAAGAAGGCTCGGGTGTAGGTCGTCGCCTGGGTCGATTGACGCCGAGGACGACGGCTGGTTGTACGCAGCCATGATGCTGCTTGATTTTCAGGGTTTGGACGGATGGATATAGTAATTATGCGTGTGGAATGGAAGAAGGATCTTAGATGTATGATAGGGGTGAGTTTGAGTATTTACTTTCGAAGTATGTATAGGTTGACTTTTAGAAGAGGCGTGTATAGGACTGGAGAGGCCTGTACCAGAATTCTTTTTCAAGACTCTTGTGGCCTGTAGCTTTGGGACCTTAGTTTCAGGCTCGAGCATATGCATCAGTTCGGTGAGGTCGCATTTTCTGACCCTGCGTCCATGGACTCATCTTCGAAGTCAATAAGAATTGACTGGGCCGGGGAATGATGACTCTCGGGAGAAGCTGCGAGAATGGCTTATTCGCGTGCAAATGGAAGTGAGCTCTTAAATCTTACACGTTTGGCAGTACGCTTAATAGTTTTCGCAGGTGATGCGATCGCAGCAGGCTTTTTCCGTCTACCAGGAGGCATGCTGTCTAATAGAGACTTAGGTGTGTACACAATAGCGGTATGAACGTAACTCGATATCTTAGAGATAGCTTACGGTTGAGGACGTGACGATAATTGTCGATGAATGACAGCTTTTAACACCAGATATGGCCATTTTGCGACTCGCAGTTGAGGTATGCATCAATTTAGTCATGTGATCTAATCATTGAGTCTCGTGTTTGAAGCCCGTGCTTCCTTGCGCAGACTAGGATCATTACACTTTGTTACTCGATCTTGTCTCTGTAGATTCTGGAGTGAGAGCTGAAGGTTCGTGGGGGACACCACTGACAGGTGTTGAGAACAGTCACCCGATACCCTGTATTAACAGAAAATGAAGTTACATCTAGTATTAATCTCTACCACACACTTTAGTAGTTCGGAGTGAGGAGGAGGGCAGAAAGGCGAAGGGACTTGGCAAGTACTGTAGGATCCAGGTCCAAACCAATCAACCCGGTATATCTTCCAACCCTTTCAAATTTCAAAGACATAGCAGGGAGACAGAGTCAGGATTTCACTAGGCAAGGCTTGGAATCGGAAAGACACGGGTCTCTCTGTATATGATGGGAAAAGTTGGAGATAATACGTGCAATTTTTGTAGGAAAGAAAGGCAGCATGTGCAACACCTGCTGTAATATTGTCCCAAATTCCGACAAAAAAGGAAAAGATTTTTTCAGGGCAGAGAGCCAAGAACACCTCCGTTCTTATTTCGAACAGAGATAGGAAGCTCTTCTTGCATATTTGGACACATCCAAGTGGACGGTAGCACGCAAAGGATATTAAAAATAGGAAATACCAATTGGAAATTAACAAGTAATTGGGTAAATTATATGCAAGGAGGGGGTTTGGGGGATGTAAATACTGTGTCATAGCTAGGTAGCTGAGTACACTGTGATTTAAAAACAAAATAGGGTGGAGCCACGAGACACCCGTAACCCACACCATCACAATGCTAAGCTTATTGCACCTTTCGCCAATTCTAATCCACTAGGAACCTCAGAGATGCCGCCCCTCTGTTATTTACTCTTTCATACCATCAATTCTTGCGTCTCCTACTGTGTATAATTTAATGTCGTTGATAAGTCTTCGCCGAGGCTTAGGTTTCAGAGCCTTTACCTATGCGAGAGTGACTTGAACATTCTAGATGACAGCAGCGAGTTGGATGCAGTGGAATTTTCGAGGATTCTACAAACCCTCGCATCTGTTGGGGGAGGCCTAGCTAACTATTCGCTTACTACTTGGGGAGCGCGGATAGGGTACCACTGCACTATGAGACCTTCCGCCATCTCCTTAGCCGAATAGGCTCCGGGTTGGCGAGGGTGTGGACCAGGCCTGGCCTGGTGGTCTTCGCTCAGCGACACATCATTGCTCGGCCCTCGAACGAAATGAGTATAGGCGGCTTTCAGGCAATCTACGTGGATCAGTGCAGGATAAGCCTTGTTTTTGGGTGGCAAGGCGTGGGGCGAGGGCGGACGATAATCGATCGCCTTGAAGATCAGTATTTGTTCGACAAGGTGGGGAGCTCGAATGGGATTGACGCCTGAGGCGTAAAGCGATACGAGCACCATAGCTGCACCTCGCCTCCGCCCCCATTTCACTCTCACATGTCCCTCGCCTCGTCTGCTACTTGGGATCGACTATCCTTAGTACGCGGGAGCCGGACTATTCGCACGGCTGACGATAGCAGCGCCAATGGCCCATACAAGGAGCGTGCGTAAGCGCCAACTCGACGTACAATTGTACAACTTTCTTCTCATCTCCTGCCCTGATTGTCCTGCACTTCATCGTCCCGGTCCATGCCGATCCCGGCATTGCTGACACCGGACTCGAAAGCCGACTACACCTCTTGGTCAAGGGAAATTACCCCGGATCCGATAATGCGGAGAGGGCGGTTACAATCAGTAATATGACGTCATAGAAGCCCCGCCGTTTACTCCCGCTTTGAGCGCAAATCTAACCGGTGTTGATTGTCGTCTCCTCATTTCCTCTTGCTCCCCATTACTACAGTGTGTCAAGGATGGAATTTGCTATCCAAATTGTTGGAATTTCGCGTCCGTCACAAGATTAAAACGACTCCTTGGTCATGTGAATTACTTGGGTAGTAACCGGGAGTGTGTTATTTTATATCCACGCCAAGACTTTAGATAACAATTTGCAGTGCTTCCATAGACTATTGGGTTGTTCTTCCGACGACGATAAACGATGCTTTCCATGCTTATTAATAATTTATCTAGGAAAGATTAAAATTTAGTTCCTGACCATAAATTTCGAAACTATGGTGTAGTCACAAACTTTTCATTAGATTAGACAGTAGGTAGTTACCCTTGTGAACTTGAGTAATAAACATGTATTGAAGTCTATAATTCTCAAACAGATTAATGGACCTCGGGCCCATAGTACAATTTTTCAAGTCCAGCTCAGACTGTAGCCTGAGCCCGACCTCCATACCACAATTCACCAACTCCATCAACGTCCTTATTACCGCGTCAGTGTTACGCTATTCCCTTTGCCATCATACAACAGCGAAATATGCCTACACTTATCCGCTATCCAAAAGCCCAAACTAAAAATTTCTAAATGCATCCAAGAAGTGTAAAGTACTATTAAAATCCCATGTGATAACGCTTCTCTCTATGTAGTGATTCCTTAATATGTGACCGTGGAATTAGGAAAGCTGTGTTGTAATTTCGAATCTTCACATCCTGGCCTTAATCTTACGTCGGTAAGCTTCTATAGCAGAGTTTAATTTCAGAACTCGTAACATGTCAAAGTCATATAGATCGTGACCATAAACACTGATACTCAAAGGACCTTCTATGCTGCGGAATTTGGCTGAGTTCTTGTTGGAGAATCGCCAATCCCGAGATGCTACCTTGTAGAAATCTGCCAAGGGACACTGAGGTATACTTCGGTCGGTGACAAATTTAACCTCCATGTCCGCGTCATTTTCCTGGGCAACACGTAGCATATCATCGAGAGTTCGTGGGATGTATGATTCTGAACCCGCGTGGATGATGCCTCTGGTACCTGATGCTGCGTGTAGTAGGGTCAGATTAGCTACCCAGTCGACAGGCACCTCGTCAAATATGTTGGTTCCTGACTCCGAGCCAGTTGCTGCATGGAAGACACGGTTTCCAGGGGATATGGCAAAAAATTTGAAGAATGATTCGAGAGGTGTTGAACCAATTGGACCGTATAGTGGGAAGGGTTGTTTGATGGCGGTGCCTATTATAGTCGGCCGTACTATGAGTATGGGTAAGTTGGGGTATCTTGATAGGAGAAGTTGTTCCATCAAATGTTTTGAGTACGCATATGACCACGGGAATATCTGAGAGCTGGCGTGAGTTGTGAGTTCTTCTTCGGGGTCTCCGAGGGGATAAATTTTTTCTTCGACTAGACCATCGGGTAGGAAAGAATTACAATAAGCTGTAGAGAGTTGAATGAATGACTGGAGGTGTGGCAATGATGAAGCCATCTTTGCTAATTCGAGTGGAGGCTTGCAATTCTTTTCGATAGCCTCATCCACTTGTTGAGCAAATGATATATCGGCAGCTGAGTTTATGACAATTGTAGTGTCATGCACTTGAGCTGGGTCAATGCCAAAGTTTGGCTTTGTAATGTCACCCTCCAGTAATATCACCTTGCCCGAGTTCAATATCGCCTTGTACTGGTGGGGCATAGTATCGTTCCATGATCGAAGAGCCTTGGTCTTAGAACGGCAGAGGGCGTATATCTTTTTGGTCTGAAGCTTGAGTGCAAGTTTATATAAAAGGCAGCCACCGAGTCCGCCCGTAGCACCGGTTAAAAATATGACCTGGTTTTGGAAAAATGCGTAGTAGTCGGCATCTGTCATACGCATGCGTTGAGGCGGGACAGGCTTGTACTGGATTTCCTGGACAACTGGCTCTGGAAGTGACATGATGTAAGGATAAGAATGTCAACTTTATGGAATGCTAGTAGACAAACGAGTGTAAGATGTAGAGAAGAAGACAGGATGGGTAATGTAGGATGTAAAGGTGCGATTCACCCCTTTTAATGAGGAAGAACAAATAAAAATGTCCGGGCGGATGAAGCGGACCTGAGCCGTGCAAAGATATGAGAAAGAGTGGATCCCAATGAGGGAGTGTGTGTGTAGGTGAGATGGAGCACGAAAGACTCAGGATGGGCACGAGTGCGGATGAGTGATCGGGCGAAGGCCCAGTGCGTAGACAGAGTGTAGCTCTACTTGAGTGATCTGAGACCGGGGGGGTGTAGTGAGCAAGGCGGATAGAGTGTTGAACATGCCCCCCCCCTCCCCCCTATTTGGGGCAGAAAATATGGATCAATTTTACTTTTCCGCCCTCCCCCCTTAGTGGTATTTGGTTGAGTTTGAGCGGGTTCTGTTGGGAGGAGCCTGGACTAGAGTTATGCAGATTTGATTGGTGGCACCAGGAGCGGCCCCTTCTCTTCCGACGCCCTACATGAGAGAGACTCCGACGTTGATCAATTCGGCATACTCGATGAGTGGCCGCCTGTTGTCTTCTACGGTTATAGAAGCGAGTTGCATATCGACTTGATGCGCATCATGCCACGAACACTGAATTATCGCCATTCATCGACCGGATAAACATGTCGATTATATCTAAGCACTGACGCTTGAGACAACGACCAGGCTAATCCAACGAGTCTTACCCAGAGATAGGATTGTGCTTTGGCCATCCCTTGAAGCTACTGCGCCGACAGCAGCGGCAGCAGAAGTAGAACCCATATCTCCAGGGGTTGAGATTGGGTAGGGATGATTCAAGCTTCACCTTCAACAGAGGCTCCCGACTAATTGCTACACTCGCTGCATCTAGAGTACGCTTCCACTTCCGTCGTCTCTCTCACACAACATTCCCCCTCTGCATGACGCCCGGATAGACCTGGGACTGGCATTGCACTAGTCCATGATTGGCTCGTTTTACGCCCTTACGAAGACTCAGAATCCAACGACGATCTTGTTCAAGAATGAAGGTGCACCGCTTCCTGCATCCGACGCCGTCGTTTGTATTGGTAGCCACATGTGGTCAATATAACGATTCAGACAGGTCCCATACAATTGCGACGTCGTGTAGACCACTGTAGATGGCAAGCGATACGTGCTATCTGATCTCCAGTCACAGCTGCTTATCGAAAGGTTGCGCGAACGTGCTCTATCAGACTTGTATTGTAAATTAAGTGACTCGATAGATTTGTGGATCGTTAGCCAAAGGCGCGAAAAATAATACTAGACACAAGGGGTACTGAAGTCAACAGTGGCCGATCCCTTGGTGTCTGTAGATCCCGCATGAAAATCGTCCTATTGGCCACCAGAATTTACCGTTGCAGGATTGGCCTGCTTGCCCGACTGACACAATTGACAAGCCTCCGTAACGACATTGATAAATATGTTTACCATTGTCATGTTAAAAAAAAATCAAGTCTCTTCATCTGGCATACCATCTCATGTCCCTCATCTTCAGACCCGGGCTGGGGGCACGGAGCACGGGGCACATTGCGCTAACTAAAGCTAAACAACGATGGCGATTATGCCATGAACCATTGCCCATTCAGGGTAAGGGACCCGACCGTTGGTTTCTTTTCTGATTATTATTTTTTGCACCTAATTTTGTTCAAGGCTAGGCTCAACCGTGATTTGACCATTTCGACTTGGCAAATAGGGGCCGGACCTGCCAAGAGTCCTGGCATAATAACGATATTACGTTCGCCTAACGACACAGAACGTCTTGTTCTAGTAGCTCCTTTCCTCTCTCAACATGAGGTGTGCATGTAGTAAGCTTCAAAGCTTTCCGTCGCATCCCGCTTAGGAGAACGTTGGTACTAATGACTAAATGCCAACTTAGCCTGTTATGTACTGCGGTCATGGCTTACCACTGTCCCAGAGGTAGTGTGTTCATGACGATGAGAGCTATCCGACTCTGCCAATATACAACAAATTGGGAGAGAACAGTACGAAGAAATCTATGTTATGCAATGTAGATTTAGGTGCTGAGGCGACAACCTGTAATTGATAACATCGACAAAGTGTACATTTTTTTGTCTAATAAAAATCACTGTAATAATGCACTTAAACCGGCACAGATATGTATTTTTTGAACAAGGACCGTATTGCATGAGGAGAATATAGTTCTCTAAGCGCAGGTCAGCTATTTTACATCAACATTTAGGTCACTGGAGATTATTAGCTCCCGCATCAGATAGGCTGATTGTCACAATAGGGATTCATTATCGAAGTACAAGCATTGAAGCAAAGGCGTAGGAATAGAGATATTTATTTTTCCCAAGATATTGACCAGGCCGAGCTTCAGTACGTTATGAGCGGGAGTTCTGAAAAGCTCAATGCCGTTTCGGCTCGTGAACACAAACGTAAAAGCTCCGGAGGCCGAAGACGAGGCTGGACCGATTCACTCATGCCGATGAGTGGAATGCATCGGCCTAGTCTGGTACAAGGCCCTCTTTCGCTCCGTCGCCAATTCTGTAGCAATAGGCTAGCCGCTCGAGACTCGACCTGATCTCCGCCGAACACGACACGTACAGTTTACAGCCTCCAGACTGCTCATGCCATTCGATTGATAGGAGCCTATGGGCGTCTCGCTTGCTAATGTTGATGGTCATCGTCTTTGGAGATTTTCGAGCTCTGAGGCTCTTGCAGGAGGCACTTTCGTTGCTAGAATCCTCTTGAAACCCACTGCGGCACTGAGTGCATCAGTGCTGCTGCAGGCAAGTCTACGGTCGCGGTTTAGGCAGCAGCCGCGCTCCTCCTTGCATCAGAGCCGATCACACTGCGGGCTCTCGAAAGAAAGATGAAGATGGGGGGAATACTACGTATTGGTTAAATGAATTGTCGTCGATCCTCCTTTGATCACCTTGTAACGATTGGTCACACAACATCAGTCCGTGTGCTACATCACATGACTGTTCGGTTCTAAGCACGTGACCTTTGCACTTCATGTTCAAAGCTGCCCACCGCTCGGCCAGCCCGTTTCTTGTTTACGCAATTTCTGGTGGAGGGAGTATGACGTGTTGCATCTGTAATGTGAACTCACTGAGCATGCGAGGGAACGGATTACCGGGGTGTGTAGAACACCGTGCTTAGCGAAGTTCGACGAGGCCACTAGTTAGCATTTCGCAAGGAGGACGAGGCTGTGGCTGACACACATAAACTCATCTGTTGGCAATCTGGCCATTTTCTCCAGACCCGTCTCATCTCTGCAACGCCAAGATCCTGACGATTAGCATTGTGCAGCACGAAGACCAAACGCTTGTATAATTTGCCGGATCAGCGTTGGGTAACACAAACAGAACCAGGTGTCGCATGCACTAGTAATATTAGACATATGCGTTGACGAGATCTCGCTTGGTATTCGCCTTGCTGAATGCCGTTAACCTACTTTGGGAAATGCACGACTATTAGGATGACATCGGCATCCCAGCGCAGTGTGCAGGGAAGACTCGGCGCGGGGAGGGAGTGTGCATGGTCTTATGGACATTAACAGTATACTTATTATGACCCGGTCCCAGTCTGTAGTTAGTGTCGACCTCGTATATCCCTTTCAAGTACCTCATTTTAGGAATACGTGTGATTGTATTTATTTTGCCAATGAGCCTATGAGAAGATGGTATCTAGTAGATCAAAGTTGACTCAGTTCATGGTTGAGGAAGAAGTGGCGCACAGATCATGGACAACGCGAGCCTTTGATGGATAGAAAATAAAAGTGTTTGTTCACAGAGCTCGGGTCGCCGACTATGCCAGCTGGAGCGTTACACCTCAACACAAGCCTATGCCATGGATACTCGTGGTTCGTGATGCTGTGTTTGGGACAGTGCGCTGCATTGATGACCGGCTTAGCTGAGAAAACACTTTCCACATATTCGGTTCATGAATGGGCATCAAAAAGACTTTCCTCTCGTCTTGATTGGTCGTGTGAGCTTATTCAGATTGAGAGGCAAGGTGATCAGTCAGATGCAGTTTTCAGCAATACGGCAATCTGAACCAGAACCGTGGCATGTAATTAGCATCATTCAGTAAGGATAAAGTGGGTATTGTACACTAGTTTTTGTTTGATGATGGAGTTTTGATCGGGACCGGGTACTAGCCTAGCATCCGAAGGGATGGTACGGAAGTTTCTGTTTGCTAGTGATTGTCATTGAGTTTACGGCTGTACGAGAACATTGAACTCCTTTCCACCAGCAGGTCGGGAGTATCTATGTCCCATACAGCGTACTTGCCCACGTGCCCTCTGCATGCTTTCCTGCCAGTGGAAATACCCCCTCACATACTAGATGTGGGATGAGAGATTCAGTATTGTTGCTATTTTTGCCTCACATCGAGAAGATTACATGTGCCAGCCAGCAAGAAAATTGAGAAAATTGAGAAAATTGAATAGTTAACCCGCAAGTAAAAGGTACTTTGTGTTTCGCTTGCCGGGTCTATGCGATGAGCTTGTTATTCGCGCAAGCTACGGCTCATAGGGATTTAGCTTCTCCAGCTAGCTCGCGGCATTTTGTGCGACGAATGTCTCACACGGTCGGCTTCTGGCTCAATCTTTATCGTTGGTCCCGAGTTCTGCCAACTTGAAATTTCCTTAGCTCCTCAGCTCGTTGCCGGTATCAACAGCACGTCCTAGATACTACACGTGTAGTAAGCTCGCGTGATTCTCTGCTTATCTTCCGAACGAGCCTTACTTACCGGCAGACGGTAACTGTGTGTTTGATCCAATTTCGGGCAGTGGGAGCGGGACGATGCATATTTCACCGAAAATGCTGGTCTACCGTAGCGTACCGGCCATTAATTTGTGGGCCTCGGACCCTGTACCAGTTTGTGGGTGTCAGGAATATCGGATGACGCAGCTGAGGGTCCAACGCCCAGCTGGATAGTGTGAGGGACCATCCTAGTTAGCC